AGATTCACACCCATAGGTAGGTTTCCACTCCTATGGCTGATCTGCTCTTCTCAAACTAGATATGGCCCCGGATGAATACTTTCGCAACACAAAAGACAGAGATCAGATTGTAGTTCATGACGCTACTTCTATGCATCAAAAATAAGTTTAGAAGAAAAATTTCTAGAATTCGGCTTAAATAGCTAATGGAATCCTCATCGAACATATATAGCCCCCATCAAAAATCCTTTAAATCCAACAATAAAACTACTCGTACATGATGAAAAAAGCAAAAACATTGTATTGAAAAGCTGAATAGAAATCGATATGGTGAAGGAACAAAAAGGGTTCAAGAGATAGATCTCTATCTCCCTAAACCTAAAACTAAGAAAGATGAAAGACAAAAACTTAAAAGCTGCTAGAAGAGAAATTGCATATGTGTCTCCTCGTCTAGGGCTCTTAAAGCATGTATTTATAGTGTTCAAGTCATTTATGGGCGTCACTTAGGGTTTTTCCAAATGAGGGAATCATTTTGGGTTTGAAAATGGGCTTATAGGCCGGACAGACCAATCTCCGTGGTCGGGAAAGACAGGACCGGTGTGAATGGGTGTTGGCCGCGGGTAGGAATGCTTGCCGCTAGTTTACGGTACATCTTGCTCTTTGCGTAACTTTTGATTGAACCGTTGGATTGCCATGATGTAAAATGTGCTGGAAAGCTGATAAATTCATCTTTAAGGTCTCCAAATTTGAGCTGGATCAGACGGTGAGAAGGTCCTAATTTAAGGGTGAATTTTTAGCGGTTTGAGCGAGTTTTTCTGAGTTTAAGCGGTTTAGTAGTATCTCGAATTTTCAACAAAGGCCAAATCGGAAACTTTGCTGGGTCGCGGTTCAACCGATCAGACCGTCCAGTCTAGTCTAGATCTAAAAATATTGCATTAAACCATAATAATTTAGACCGTTGTGTTTAAGTTAATTTTACACATCAAATAAGAACCAATAAAAAAGTACATTTAATTAAAAAAATATGGTAAAAATATCTTTTTGCAACCAAAACTCATCTCATATATAAAACTTGGCCAACTTTCTCCCACATCAGCATTGGAGAAAGTGCCACCTGTCTATTTAAAATCTTAATGAAATAACAATTAATCACATTTAAAGAAAAAACATTAAAACACATTAATAAATATTAATATGTATATGAACAAATTTATTTAAATAAATAAAATTAAAATTTATTTTAAATATATCAAAGCTTATAAATATTATATAATACAATAGTTTTTAAATGCACCATTCTATTTCCTTTTTCCAAGTGATTTAAACTACATTTTTAAACTAAAAATATAATTAAATTTTAATGTACGTGAAAAACAAATATAAGACTGAATAAGTTAAGAAATTTAAAATAATCTTATATAAAACTCTAACTAATAAAATTATAAGACTAAATATTTAATAAACGATTAAAAAGATAAAAAATATTAAAAAATATTAGTAAAAAGAAGAGTGGATACATCAAAATGTCATACAAAGTTTTTTAAAAAAATATTAAAAAATGGAATCAATAAAATATGCATAACCAAAAAATTTCAAAATGGTAAATTTTTGTATGAGCTATTACGTTTTCATACATAAATTAAAATAGTAGATATTGAGTCCTTCATTACTGTAAAAGAAGAATCGGATTATTTGGCACAGGTGGAAGAGATTATAAATAATGTATCATCTAGAAGAAATCAAAGAAAATATAAATATTTTAAACAAAAAATAGAATGATGGTAAAATGAAAACAAATTTTAAAAATGTATTATTTAAAATATAAATTAAAATAAGATTTGCGCGTATGCGCGGATTCTCTCCTAGTTGTAGAACCGATACATAAGCAAAATATTTTGAAACTACCTTGCTGACATATCAGCAAATCACTACATAAATAAGAATATAAATTCAGATATTTTTAAAAAATTGACGTTAAATGACTGATCAAATATTAGTCTTTCACTATGGTGAATCTCTCGGCTAATAATTCACAATAAATTAGTTAAATCGAATATGAAACGTATTTGGAGGGGACAGTTAAAAAAGAGTTTCTGACAAAACTGAAGACATACATACAAAAGAATATGAAACGTATTTAAAAACAACATCAACAATTTTGGTTAAATTTGATAAAATCTATCATACCCCAATTAACCATAACTGAATTGATTTGAACCGAAATATTTTGGTTAATTTCAATAGAATTTTTAAAACCGAACTAACCAAAAAAACTGAATAAAGTGAGCGATTCAATTTAGTTAATCCGAATCCCAGGCCTACCTAGATTGCTAGTATGGCTGAGCACTGTCCCGTCCTATATTCGATTTACTAAAAATATTGGATTTAGACGGGGAAAATAATACACCCTCCATTTCAAAATGTAAGATATTTCAGCTAAAAGTACAATTATTAAAAAAAATATTAAAAAAATATATATGTTAGATTATCATTTAACGTATAAATTAAAACCACTTTAATCAATCATAAAAAAAATCTATAATCTAATTGGTCACACAATATTCAATAAAGGTAAAAATTGCATAAAGATATAAAAAAAAACTTACATTTTGAAACAAAAATAAACCTCCAAACAGCTTATAATAAGAAACAGAAAGAATATATAAATTAGTTTTACGAAAACAGAGGTGACACTTGTACACAATATTAATAGTTAAGTGGTAGATTTGGTTCCTCTTAATATGATATTGCTCTATTTAGTTGATCGCCAGAACATCTTTAATGGTGTTCTATATCTTTCTCTAAATTCTATTTTTAGAGTAAAATGATCTATAACGGTACTCTATATGTTACTCTATAAATGCATAAATAAACAGTATTGCTCTATATTTGGAACAACATTGTTAATGGCTCTAATTTAAGAATATAACTTTTTATTTAGAAAACAGTCCTCTAGTTTTTATATATTTTCATCTTATACATAAACAATAAGATAACTAGTAATATTACACTTACTTAAAATTATACTACTAATAACTTGTTATAAAATTATTTTAACATAACATAAAACAACAATCTTTATTAAACAAAGAAATACAATAAAATAACAAATAATAAAATTAGAAATACATAACTAATACTAAAAAAGATAAAATCTCAAAATAGATAATCAAAAAAACTTAACACAATTTATTAGACCATTAATCTAATACTCTGGTAAGTAATGAATGTGGTATAATAAATTTTTATAATAATTAATGTTGAAAGAATATATTTATGTTGAATTATTGTTAAAAATAAAATAGATAGAACAATTAAAATTTTAAAAGTGAATGGTCTTATAAGCAATTAATACTAAAAAACAAATATAATATATTTGAATTATTTATTTTTACAGTCAGATATAGAGATGACCATTAAAGTAAATCTTTTCTTTATTTTTAAAGAATTCTATATTTAGAGCCGAAAATAAAACGAACGATTGGAGATGCTTAGAATATATGGTTGTAAATTTTCACAAAACGTATATGTAACTGGATACATAAGAGTTTACGTAGCTAGGAAATCACCAGTTACATATACCAGTTACATATGTAATATAATCTCCTAAGAGTTTACGTAGCTAGGAAATCACCTTTACCTAAAAGTTAGTACGAGCAATCATATCGCAAGAGTATGGAATATATTGTCGTAAAATCAATCTGATGGATGTTTATTGCTAACTTTTTCTATGATTGGTCTACATGCAAACTATTAATGACAAACTTTTGAAAATGCCTAATGTAAAGAATCTTGACATTTATAAACGTCAGCTAATATTTTAGTGATTTATAATCTCAATGATTTACATAGTAACAGCCTAATAATCCATAATGCATCCACTATTTTACTTTAACTTTGTGCCAGATGTCTCGGTCACAAATCCAAATTTAAATGAAAGTCATGTTCATTTTTGTTTTTGTTTTGCTTCTTTGCATATTATCAATTACATCAAATAATATAATGCAACTGACCCCAATCACAAACTTGAATCGATGTATGCCTTACAATCACTCACATGTGTCCTCCGCATCAGCCACAAACTTTGTCTTTCGATTACATAATGTTGTATAGACCTATTTTTAATGTGGCGTAGGCCAAAACCCTCAATTATTTACACAGTACTAATTTAGTTTTTTTTTGTTTTAATAATAGTAAAAATTTATGGTTTCATTTTGATTTGTCATAAAATTTGGGGACTGTTCCCTTTCTCATAAGTAAATACTCTGTGCCAAAATGAAAAATAATATTTTGCTTATACGTAAAGACACAAACTCCTCCCCAACCACACATGCATGAAACCTGGAATTTTCAAACTTAATGTGGAAATTGTTGAGAATAACTTCATTAAAACATTCCTTTATAAGAAATTTTTCTTAGTATGAAAGTTAGAAGGGCGCAAAACCAAACTTTAACGGAAATGTAAAATGTTATTTCGTAAACTAATTTACCTTACATATTTTCCACTTTTGGAATTAGTAAGATTTTATAGAAAGCGAGAGTGTGTGTTTACAACAACAAAAAAAAAATGAGTATGATGCCAATCTGCTAGGACTGGTTGATATTTCATATTTTGGTTATTCACATATTTGGTACAAGCTCCAATATTTTATTTCTGATTTGTTACTTCTCAAATAATTGATGCCGATACTTTTATATAAAAATAAACAAACAAAGAGAAAATAATGTACGTTATCACTACCCAAGCTTGGGTTATAATGAATTAAATGCCAAAGTTTTCAAGTCACTTCACATCAGTAGAAGTTTCATGCGCTTTCTACGAGACCCCAAAAGCAATAATTAGACTCCTTTCAGAGGCAATAATGAAATCAAAGTTTCTACTCAACAAAATAAATTACAATGTGTTAAAGGGTGCAAGATAAATAAATAATAATCTCCTTTTGTCATAAACATCTTATCATACGAAATACACTCACTATAGATAATTATAAATAAGGTGAGTATCACCCATACACCACTTTATATGGTGGTACAAAGAAAGAGCCTTTTCTTACTCACTTCATCACAACTCTCCTTAATTATATTCTCGTCCCCTTTTCATTCTTTTAAGAAACGGTAAAATCTGGTGTGAGTGAATATGGGAGTTGAAGGAACGATGGACTACATATCGGAATTTCTGAAGAAGAGGAAAAGAATGAAGAAGAAACAAATGCAGACAGTAGCTCTCCGAGTTGCTCGTATCGACTGCGAAGGCTGTGAACGTAAGATCAAACATATCCTTTCCAGCGTCAAAGGTATGTAGTTACATAGGTGGAATCGAATAATAATGAAAAGCTATTTTTACCAACCATTGTGATCCAATGGTTAGAGATTATTTCATGTTATTCGAAGCCATATCAAGTTGCAGACATTAGTTTTGAATATTAAATACAAAGAAAAATTGATTTTAACTAGATTGTCTCAGCATTTACTTTGAACTTTAATCTTGGAATGAAAATTTTGGTCTCTTCGAATCTCAGTAAACCCTATATGAATTAATATCCTGATAAATAATAAATTTGTTGCGATTCCAAATTATATCTCATAAGGTAATATATGTACTTAAATTTAGGGATGATTGATTTTAGATTTTCGTTGCCAAGTACAAAATCTATGGACTTGTTGAACGTTAGAACATGTGTGCTTTTTATGATCAATTCATAATATTATTTTAATTTTCATTGGACTCGTAGTAAGGTTACGTTCTTGCAATTTTGCTTCTGCACACTATTTTGGTTGACAATATTTTTTTTTTCTTTTTGGGGGTTGGACTCATTTTGTGTAGGAGTGAAGTCGGTGGACGTGGACGTGAAGCAGCAGAAGGTAACGGTGATGGGATACATGGATCCAAAGAATGTATTGGAGGCGGCCAAGTCGACGAGGAAAAAGGTTGAGCTATGGCCGTATGTCCCGTACACAATGGTGGCGAATCCGTACATATCTCAGGCATATGACAAGAAGGCACCACCAAACATGGTTCGGAAAGTTCTTGACACGGCCTTAGTCAACGAGACCACCGTCGATGACTCTTACACCGTTATGTTTAGTGACGAGAATCCTAATTCTTGTTTTATCATGTAAACTGTAGACAGTGTGCTTTTCGTAAAACTTAATTATATGATCAAATATATTATTGATAAATAAATAGATTAAAACCCGCATATATGTGCATATATCTAATTTAATATTTAATCATCTGATAAAAAAGTGAAAAACAAAATTAGATCATCTGTGAAATAAAATAACTTAAAATTAAGATAGCTTCACAAAGCTACCGAAACGAGAAAAACAGTTATTTATTTTAATTATGCTACTGTATTAATTGATTTCCAATACGTTTTCAAATATATAGGTTTTTGATATTACTATATGAATTAGATGTACTTTTTATTATTTAGCTACTCATTTGTCTGTTTTTTTTCAAACAATTGATGAATCGATTCTATTATTTGTACTTCAATTACATTTGATTACCACATCTATAATAAGACACAAAGTGAACTCCGTTCTATTTCAGATAGAGAACATGCTTATCAGGATTGAGGGAAACCTTAAGCGCCCGAGCTATGAAGGAAAGACGGATCCTAAATAGCACCTGACAGCATTTAGGATAGCAGTTGGAATAGCTCATTTTAATGATGAGGAACGAGATGTCAGATGGCACTTTGCGGAGCCCGCCCTCGATTGGTCCTCTCGACTGGAAGATCGGTCCATTAACAGTTTTTCCCAGCTGTAGGTTAGATTTCTGAATCAATACTCTGTATTCATTCATAGGACAGCCTCAGGAGCAGAATTTGGGCCTCGTCACAAGGACTATGACAATTGCTCCAATTATATCTCACCAAGTTCAAAGAGATAATTGCTAGAATGCATGTTGTTCATCATGATACGTCTCTGGCAGCTTTGAATGATGGATTGCGGCACGACTCTAAATTTAGAGATGACTTAATGGTTAATACACCAGCTAAAATTCAAGATGCACTTCACCGTGGTCCAGGTTTTGCAACAGCCGAAGAGAAACTCCTCGCGCTCACAGAGCAGTATAGGAATTTGAAACCTTATTCCATTGTGATCCCAACCGCTTCTCAAAGTGAAGAAAGGACCACAGGGAAAGAAGTCACTCAAGCGAGTCACAAACCTTCGCAGTCCAAAAGAAGTTACAAAAGATCATCCACCAAAATCTGATGACACCTTGGGTAAAGATAAGGAAGCATTTTGTGTCTACCACTAACCGTATGGACATTAAAATATGAAATGTTAGAGAATAAAGGACATCCTCGTGGACATGTATGCTTAAGGAAAGCTTAGCGAGGTATAGATCACGAACCCGTGTTCCAAAAAGCAAAAGGACCAAGATCAAGATGATCCCAAGCCAACCAAACAAGAACACAATTGAAAAAGAAAATAATCAACCTGATCATGGGAGGACAAAAATCTTCGGAGATACAACATGATCTGTCAAAAGACATCAGTAAAAATCTGACACCTAGAAGGCAAACAATGGGGGCGGTGACAAGAGGCCAATGAGGATTTATATCACTAAGAAGAAAAAGGCAGAGTTGGCTCGAAGAAGTGAAGCAGAAGATGAGCTGGAAGTTGGTCAACAGAAGCCGTTAGATAACGTGGACAGAGTCGAAGACTGAAGGTTGTTAGAGTAGTAGAAGTATAAATAGATATTTTGTATAGTTGTTTACGGTTATCGAATTGTTGTTTGATCTGGGTTGTATGAGAATATGTTCTCTACAAAGTTGGCAAGTCTCTTGATTGTTCTTGAGATTTGATTTCTTAGGTCGCATTGGTAACTGAGAGTCTCAGTCCCGATTCGATCTTGTAATCCCTTTTGAGTGATAATAAAATCGAGTGTTTCTCTTAACAATTGGTGCGGTGAAGCAGCGAGCACAGCGACGGAGATGGTGGAAATCGATCAATCGTCAGTGGATCTGGATCGAGCTACTACAGAGCTCCAGGAATCATTTTCCGAGCTGAATCAAGAAGTCGAGATAATTCGCGGAGGATGGAACGCCTCATGACAGCGAACAAAGAAATCACATCACGAGTTCAAAAATAGAGAATCGAATCGAATCGGTTGACAAAAACATAAAGTCGATCGTGCAAACTCTATCTCGTATGGACGCTAATCAATTCGGTGACAAAGCTCCTGAGAAACAACACGCGACTACTTCCGATACAGCGAATCAGGTTAGTTCGATAGATCCTGACCTTAACCGGGAAAATCATCCACTAGGTTATCGAGGAATTAGTAATGTGTTAGAGAACAGAAACAGTATGTTGAAAAAGATAGAGCTACCGGTATTTGATGGTTATCGTCCGTATGGTTGGATAATTTTGGCCAAAAGGTTCTTCCGATTAGGAAATTACAGCGATGCAGAAAGGTTAGACTTGATGTCGATCACTTTGCAAGGTCCAATGCTGAATTGGTTCAACATAGAAATTGAGAAACAGTAATTCAAAAGTTGTTCAAAGAAAGGTTGATAGCTCGGTTCTGTGTCAAGTTAGAGGAAAATCCGGCGAAGTGATTGTTCAGTATGCAGCAAACAGGATCCATTGTGGATGATGTGAACAAATTTGAGGAACCTTCTATGATTGTGAAAGGTGTGGATGAAGACAATATGATGCATGTTTTCTACTTGGGACTGAAACCAATGATGTAGGAGGTAATCAAATTGAATAAGCCAAAGACATTAACCGAACACTTTCACGCCGTGATAAGGATGGATGATAGTGCTTTTTGCGCTTCAATGGCATCAGCCACAAACCAGAGCCACAGAAGACACACAACTTACACACCTCTACGTTCTTCAACAATGTACAACTCTCAGCAACTGCCTAATGCAAATCAACAACAGGAATACAACAAAGAAGGGTTCAAAGGGTCAGAGAATCAGATTATGAGATCACAAGGCAGTGGTTCAGGCAATACAGACAGACAATCATGGAAACCTCAACAAAGGGGTCAGGTTGTAAGGAAGCTCTCACAAGCGGAATTTGAGGAATATAAGAGATTGGGGCTATGTTACAAATGCAAGGAGAAATGGTCCTAGACACATAAATGTCCGAACAGGGAGCTTCGAGTTATGAAAGTGATTAATGAGACTGAATTGGAACTGTTGGATGAAGAGGGACTAATTTTCGTAGAAGATGAAGCTGAGGAAAGAGTGGAACTCATGGAATTATCACTTTTCTCGTTTCTGGGTTTATCATCCCCAACTACTATGAATCTTTGGGGAACCATTGGTAAGACCAGAGTGATAGTTATGCTCGACAGTGGAGCCACGCATAACTTCATCGACCCATCAACGGTGGTTAAACTGAAAATGCAACCAATCCATAACAACATGATAGAAGTGTTGTTGGGAATGAGCATTACTGCACAAGGAACATGCGTTTGCAGGAACATCTCTTTTAATCTGCAAGACAATGACTTCACTGCTGATTTCATTGTACTGAAGTTAAGCAATAATGACATTACCTTGGGAGTTTAATGGCTTCGTAAGTTAGGGAAGTGTGAAATGAATTGGGAAAATCACGAGATTTCGTTTAATCATAGAGGAGCGATTGAGAAACTCGTTGGTGACCCATCTCTCCATAGTAACAAAAGTTCCCTGAAGCAGATCCATCAATCAATTGGTTTCGACTTGGAATTGTTTCAAATGGAGAAGGAGGAAGATATTCAAGTAATTCTAGAACCTGTTGAACACTTATTGGGTAAGTACTTGAGAGTTTTTGCAGAACCAACTCAGCTCCCTCCTATTTGTGGTCACGAACATGCTATCATCTTGATAGCGGGAGCTGAACCAATAAGTGTGCGTCCATATAGGTATCCACAAGCCTATAAGGAATAGATGGAAAAGCTTGTGTCCAAAATGCTAGAAGATGGGATCATTCGACCAAGTCGTAGTCCTTATTCCAGTCTGGTTTATTGGTAAAGAAAAAAGATGCTTCGTGGAGATTTTGCATTGACTATAGAGCCTTAAACAAGATAACAGTTCCTGACAAATTTCCAATTCCCATGATAGATCAGCTGTTAGACGAACTTCACGGTGCAAAGATATTCTCAAAACTGGATTTAAGATTGGGTTATCACCAAATACTTATGGAGGAGCGTGATATTGAGAAGACAGCTTTCAGATCGTCTAACGGTCAATACGAGTTCTTAGTGATGCCATTTACGCACCAGAAACATTTCAGTCACTGATGAAAGCATTATTTCGTCCATACCTGGCCAGTTCATGTTGGTTTTTTGTTGATGATATACTGGTGTTCAGTACATCAGTGGAAGAACATGTTAGACATCTACAAACTGTGTTAGATGATGTGGTCTGGGATGAGGGTGTCAAGTTTTACGCTAAATGAAATCAATAGCCGCAAGTGCTGATAACTAAGAGTTTTCAAGGCTCTTTGTAGAGGTTATCAATCCCCTGTCTTGTAGTACAAGGGGTTTATCAATCCATATGTGGTGTTAGACATTAAACTATGTGATCAGATTCTTAATTCAAGCAAACAATAGTGGTTTTGATTAACTAATGACAACTACAAACTTAAAAACAGGATTTAAGACTAAATAAGAACTAAACAATGACAAGTGAAATGCTTATGATATGATGGAGGCATGAGATTCTAGACATGATAGTTGGTTAGGGTGCTTTGGTGCTAAACTAGGAATGCTAATGACAATGATGAGACATGATTCAAATGATTAAAAACTCTAATCTAGGTTAATCCTCTCATGAAGGTATTAACCCCTATACTAATCCATTTTCAAACCAAATCATCATTTGTGAAATATGAATCAGTATGCATTAATAAACAGTTCTAAATGATCATTCAAGCAAATAACAATACATCATCATGCAGCAAATGCTTAAACCTCTAATACAGCTCTTTCAGGAATTTCATCAAACACTTTTGGTGCATGAAATTCCCAGAATCTAGATCTCAAGTGATATGCAAGGATCTAGCATAAAGAACAGCTGTTTAGAGAGATAAATCAATGAATCTAGCCCTAAGCACTCCTAATCTAACACTTTAGCACCCTAACCTACACATCTAGAATCTCATTAAGGTGACTACTCACTAATCATACTAATCTCTCTTAAACCTTTGCAAGTTGAGAAGATTGGC